GTAGTGGTGCATTCTTATAATCTCAGCACTTTGGAGGCTGAAGTAGGAGGATTGCTATGAGTTTGAGGCCAGACTGAAGTACATAGAAAGGCTATATCTAAAAAATAAAATAGGCCTGGTGAGATGGCTCAGTGGTCTAAAGCACCTACTTAGAACAAGTTTAGCAAAGCACAGGAACCCCAGTTCAATCCCCCAGCACCACATGCCAGCCAGCCCCGCCCCCTGGTGGGCGGAGCTGGCCACACACATATACACACACAAAAATAAATAAATTTTTAAAAAATTTTAAAAAAAATCATGGTGATGAAGCTTCATGATTTAGTGTTTCTGGGTTCTTCCCTAATACAGCAAAAGTTAAAAAAAAAAAGAGAAAGGAAGAGCAAAAAAGAATGAAAAAGAAATTAAGAAACAGAACAAGAGAAAGAGGCAAGGAAAAAAATAAGGCAATAAAGATAAAAAAGACACGGTCCTGACTTTAAAGGGCTTGAAGTCTAGATTCTTTATTAATGAACTCATCAACTCACAAATTTTTTGTTACAAATGTCTTTTTTATTTTTTTATTTTTTATTTTTTAGGGAAAGGTCTACAGGGTGTTCAGGGTCTTACTACTAGATCTGATTCATAGTGATCCACCTGTTTACAGCCTCCCAAGTACTAAGATTACAGGCATTCGACACCATGCCCAGTCTCAGTTTGGTCTCAGCGTGCCCACGGGTGGGGCCGGCATGGCAGGCCCAGGGATCAAACCCCCAGTCCCTATGCCTGCTTGCAGACACTTTAATCCCCTGAGCTATTTGGCCAGCCCTCTTTTGTTAACTATTTGTTGCATTATGCAATTGATAGAGTGTATGATATAGGAATGACATAGGATTTCCAAATATCCAAATAATATCGGGGAAATAACTCTTCCTGCAAGCCTGCTAGATGCCTGACATGCTGAGTTTGGGTTCTCTAAAAATCAAAGAATATAATCTTTTTTTTTTTTCGGAACCAGGGATTGAACTCAGGCCCTTGTGCTTGCCAGGGAAGCACTTATTCTACTGAGCCATCTCCCCAGCCCCAAAAGAATATAATCTAAGAATAGCAGATTAAACATGGGACATATTTACTGAGAGAAAGAAAACTTCAGTGTAAGATGGAAGAGGGTCAGAGAACCTGCTTCTCAAGGGAATTTGATAGAGTAAAACCACTAGTGAGATGGATGTAAGGTGGGACAAACTTAGAGTTAACTAGTAAGGTTATAAGCGTAGTCACTCAGGCAATATTTTTTTTTAAATTTTATTTGTGTGTGTGTGTGTGTGTGTGTGTGTGTGGCCAACTCAGCCCACCAGGGGGCGGGGCTGGCTGGCATGTGGTGCTGGGGGATTGAACCGCAGTCCCTGTGCTTTGCTAAGCTTGTTCTAAGTAGGTGCTTTAGACCACTGAGCCATCTCACCAGCACCACTTAGGCAATACTGACTCAATGGGAAATCACAAGGAGGGCATGATATTGGGCAAAACTATGGTACCAACTAGGAGCATGAGCCTAGTCATTTAGGTGATGTTGATTAAATGGAGATGGGGGGGAACAAGTCATGTAGCAAGTACACATGGAATGAAAGGATTCTGCTGGAAGTGGGTTAGGAGGTTGTGCTCTCCACCCCAAGGTGATGGATTCATGCTTACAATATCAGTTACTGGGACTTGTTGCTTGAAAGACTCAGCAGCCTCCATTCGGGGCTTTCTGACTCCATAAACATAAGCATCAATATTTGCATTCCTATACTTTTCAGCCCAAAGAATGGCATCTTACGAGGGCTTGTTTTTGTCTAGTGGATTTGACTTTCAGTTTAGTTTAACATTGAATATGGTCCTTTGAAATATTTTGGAGAAAGAATAAAGCTCCACAAGAGATCTTGAATGTCAGGATCCTCTTTTTCCTAAAGAAATGTTTGGATTTTCTATTGTTTTGCTTTTTTAAACTAGGAAAAGCTACTCCGTCTGAATCATCATTTTTGATCAGAGTGTTTCCTCGGTAGATGTTCAAAGTCCTATAAAATAGCCTCTGGGTATACAAGTATCCCTGAACAAAAGTGTAACAGATTTGCCAAGAGAAGCGAGGCTTATTGAGATTATTTCATATAGCCATCTTGTATAGGTGGGATACACCAGTAAGGAGGACCCACAGAGGTAATTTAGCACATGAGGCTGCAGTAGATTCATTATTTAACTTTGGATAAGTAATACCACCTTTTCTATGTATTTTCTCATCCATGACAGATTGAGCTCCTGGGTGATGCATGCAAAATACCTTTCAGTATCTCAAGTTTCTGTGATTGGGGCAACCTACTCTCTAGGCCTCCTTCTGTCTCTCTTAGAAGCTTTTCTTCCTTTCAATAAGTTTTTCCTACTCTTAACCCCTGTGGTTCCTAGAATTTGTTTCTCAATTTCACAAATCTGGTGTTTTGGACATCTAGCCGGTTGAGAGTTTCTTTCCCCTGTATCCGTGGAGGCCTTCCACCGAGATAACTGATCTCGGTGATCACCAAGTGATCATACTGGTGGAACCGGTGACCAGTGTGCTAAACCCTTTACCGGGACTCACCGGATAAACCTTGCAAGGAGAGTCCATAACTGCTAAACCACAACATGCCCTCTCTCTGTGGACCATTAGCTTAGCCCTCTGGAGAAGGGCCCTGACTTGATCACCCCCACAGCGACTCTTCTTAGCTTGAAGTAACTAGATGAAAGCTGCACCCATCCTCCTCTAACTGCAGTGAGGGGTAACTCTTCAGAGGGGAAAATATTATAGATAGCTAAGCTATTTAGAAATATTGTGGGCAGTCAGGCAGGGCTGGGCCCTCAAGAGGTCAGGGCCTAAGACAACCGTGGCTGGAGGGGCGTTCACTGAAGGTCAGGCTTCAAGAAAAAGGACTCACTCATATACTTCCCCTAGGGAGGAACAGCAGTAATTGATATTCTCTAGGCAGGCACCCATCATCTTGGGATAGAGACCAAACCTCCTTAACCCACCCCGTCCTGGAAAGTCCTTGTCCTTCCTGTGTGCACTTGCTACATGACTTCCTCCCCATTTGATCCCCATTTAATCAATATTCCTGAGTGCCCATACTTCTTGTAATCTTGTTGATTCACCATACCTTTGTCCCACCTCACACCCACCATGTGACTTCCCATTGGATCCGTATTACCTAAGTAATAATAACTTGTAATAATGTTTTGTCCACCTTGAACCTTCCTCACCTCATGGCTTTGCTCAATAAAACCCGCATTTTTTTTCTGATTCTTCTAGACTGAAGCCTGGTTAGCCCTTTGAGTTAAAAATAGGCGGAGAAGGAATAGTGAGGGAAGGGGCTAGTAAAGTTCAGTGTATCAGGTCTGAGATCACACCTGTAAGGAGATGAAGACCTAGATGTTTGTGGCCACCATGGCCGTGACCAGCAGAGAAAGGGAGACTGAGGCCCGAGGAGGCCAGGGCTTCTTGGGAGCTATTTCAACCTTCCTTCCTTCCTTCTCCTCTCCGACACTGTCCACAGGAGGGGGCAACAGTGGTCGCTCTGAGGGGGTCTGCAGCAACTCCTGTCCAGCATGCCGGCCTCGTGGCCTCTCACGCGGGGCGCAGCTGTGAGGCCTCCGCTCAGGGGAAGAATAAGGAAGGGAACCATAGCGGCCCTTGGACGTGTCATAGAAGTGCAAGGTTTTCATTTGTGGGATGAAAAGCGCGTGCGTTCCTGCTTGTGGTTTTCGATCACTTTTTAAAGACGGGTCCGCAATGCACTCTTGGAGGGCCTTGAACTGCGCAGCCCGGCCGGCCTCCCCCATGTCTCTAGTGATGGGTTACCGGCCGGCGGCACGATGCGGCCCGGTTCTTTCTAAGTCTTGGCTCTGAAGTCCGTTTTTCTCTCCTCTCGCCCCCCACTGAGCTTAGCTGCCACCCAGTTTCAGCGAAGGAGTCTAGCGTGGGGCGCACGCCTGTTAGCCTCTGGGAGGCTAAGGCAGGTGGATGGCAGCCCGGGGCCCAGCGTGGGCAACGCAGCAGGGAAGCGAGACCCAGAATAAGAGTCAGGACGGGTGCAGGGGCTGGGGGAGCGCTTTCCAGCCTGGCAGGAGGGAGCACTCCGGGAGGAGCAGCGCCGCTGTCGCCGCAGCCAGGGACCGGCGAGGCCTGCTGGCCAGTTTCCCGCCTCCTCGAAACCGAGTCTCGGCCCCCCGCGCCGCGCCCCGCCCCCGCTGACGCACGCCCCGCCCGTCGCTGATGCTCCGCCCCGCCCTCGCGCCCCGCCCTTCCGGCACCACCTCCCCCACCCGGCCTGCGCGGTGTCCGGCGTCCCTGCAGTGGGAGGTGGGAGAGGCGGGGCCGGAAGGGGGTGGGGCCAATCTCCTTGGCGCCGCGTTGCCATGGTAGTGGGCCGGGGAGGAGGGGGAGAGGGGTGTGAGTTGCAGCCGCTGGCTCTCCGAGCTCTGCCGCCTGCTTGCGGCCGCGTCCTCCCAGAGGCTGCTGCCGAGGCCGCGAGAGTCGCGGCGGTCTCTGCCTCATTGTGTGCCCTGCTGACCTTCGCCCTTGGTGCTCCCGGCGGCCGCGCTCACGGTGAGTCCGGGCGGGCGCGTGGCTGTCCCGTGACACGCGCCGACATGTTTCCCTGTGAGGAAGGGCGCGGGGGAACCCGGCGCGAGGCTGGGCCGGGGGCGTCGAGGGCGAGTTCCGAGCTCCGCCCGGAGGTGTCGGCCGCGTGCCCGGGCGCTCGGGGAAGCGGCCGAGCCGCCCGGCGTCCTCGCTCGCCCAGGCCGGCGGAAAGTGCGACG